CCCCCCCCCCGGCAATGAGAGGCGGCTCCCGAAGGCCCAACTGCCATGCAGCCAGCTTCCCAGGGTCGGGTGCGCTGATGCAGAAACGGCTGCCCGCCTGCCGAGAAGCTTCCTGGTCACCCTGCCCAAGCCCAGGCCCCCACGTGGCACACGCCGTCCGTGTGGAAGAGGAAGGACGGCAAAGGCCGCAGAGAACATTTCGTGGAAAAAAGTGCTATTTGAGTCTGCTTCTGTAGGCAGAAGTGGGGGTGAGGAGGAGGGAGGCGTTTCGGAAAGGGACAGGAAGTACCACCTGGGCCCCCCTCTGCTCATGTGCTCAGCAGCTGGGGCCGCATTCCATTGTCCTCCTGTCCTCGTGGTTTGTCCCACGTCCATGCACCACCTATTTATTACTACTGACTTCTTATATAAAGGGCTTTTTTTTTTAACTTAAATAAGTTTACTTAAAAAGGAAGATTTGATCCCTGCTGTGATTTGCATGTTAGTATGATTGTCCTGGCCTTTGTCATTAGCTTTTCTGGGCCCCCTCTGCCCGGGTCAGAACTGTCCCTTGCATGGCCCACATGGCTGTGACCTTCACTGCCACCAGCATGACCGGTCATTTTTTTTAACCTTCCACATCCTTAGGTACACAAGGAGCTTAGAAATATCTCTCTCTGTAGGAAGTCAAACACAGATAAGTGCCCTGGGCTGACCCCCTCATCTGCATCTCCTTCCTAGCAATGGCCTCGGCCATCAGCTTCGTGGGTATCCTTCCAGGCCTTTTTCCTGCAGTATTTCATTAGTTTTATCGTTGTTTTAACATAAGTGGTATCACATTGTTTGTATGCTGGCTTTTTCTTGTCATAACTCTGTTGAAATTATTTTAATAAGTTAAAACAGTAATACTTTTTCTTTAAAAAAGTATCACAGTATACAAAAGGGTAATTCCAAGACACAGAGCTGACCGTGTCCTTTCTCTGCTTCCGAATCTGAAAGGCTCCTCGTTGCCACCCTCCGCTGGGCGGCAGGGCCTGCGCGTGGGACTCCTGCCTCACACTGCAGCCTCCCTGGCCCCTGGACCTCTTCCGTCCCCGGCTCCCCTGCAGCACAGGGATGGTGATCCCTCCCTGGGTTCTGTATGTACCCCTTGTCTATGGACTGGCGGCCCCAGGACAGTGGAGGGGGCTTTCTTGTGCAGCCCCCGGCAGCGTGGAGGCAGGATAGCATACGGGTCGGAGCCCGGGCCGTGGCCGTGCTGCCGGGCTCCCCGCTGCTCACTGAGCCTGGGGGTGCAGTGCGGGCGCGTCAGCCCCCGTGCACCTGGGCCTGGCCGCCGAGCTGGAGGCGGACGCTGGTGCCTGCCTCGGAAGGCTGCCGGCACGATGGCCTAATGGCTGGAAAGCGCTCGGTGCGGGGCCTCTCCCGGGGCCGGGCGGGGCGGCAGCCTTGCGCTCAGCGTCAGTTGGTGCTCTTACCCTGGGCTGGTCGTTGTCAGTCTTCACCGCTGCCCCCGCCCCTGGGGCCCGGCACATGGGCTGGCACGGGAGTGTTCAGTGTGTGTCTGGATGGCGGATAAAGGGCAGAAGGTATAGAGCCAGACCTGGCACGGGTGACGCTGCACAGGGACAGGCTCCTTGTGGGGGAGCGTGTGGACAGGGGCATGGCGGGCGGTGGGGGGCAGCAGCGGGGGGCTTCCAGCAAGGATGGGAAGAGCTGGGCAGGCGCCTTCCTGCTCACAGCACCTTCCCTGTCTGCACCCTCGAGGAAGAAGGCAGCCACACGATTGGCATTGACCCAGGAGGGCTGGCCTTCACCGGCTCCTGGCCTTGCTGTCACGGGCTCAGGTGGATGGAATGACTTCTTGATGCCTCCCCCGCTCCCGCCCCGGCCCGTTTCTCTCCAGGCACTGCCACCATGGAGGCGCTGGAGGACTTTATCAACAACATTAACAGTGTCTTGGAGTCCTTGTATATTGAGATAAAAAAAGGAGCCACCGAAGACGACGGGAGACCCGTTTACGCGCTGGTGAGTGCACGCCGGCGCCCTCTCGCGGCGTCTGTGCGGAACTGCGGCGGGTGGACGCGGCCCCGCCCCAGCAGCCCTGCAATGGGGGACACAGACCCAGCCCAGCGTGGCTGCCCTGCCCGCCCGGGGCCACCGGCGCCACCGTCAGTGTCCTGTGCGGTGATCAGGGCCGGGACTGTCACCCCGATGCTCACTTCACTGCCTTATCCGAGCCCCTGCCCAACACAGGTTGTGTTTGTTGACAGTTCAATGCAAGAAGTCCCCTCAAATGTGCGCAGTAGTAGGATTAAAGAGAGGAAAGTGGTTTTTCATTTAGGATAAGGCATGGACGCTGAGAGAAGAAAGAATGTGTGGCTCGCTGGGACTGAGAGCCATCTGGGCCTCCCGTCAGGCTCCGGCGTCACTCCTGGCCAGCCAGCGAGGGGAGAAACAGGCGGGCGGAGCAAACAGGGCCCCCGCCTGGGCCAGGGCACCGCCGTGGGCCCATCCAAGGAGGCCGGGCTCCCACCAGCCAGGCCCACCCAGCGAGGGGCGCTGGCCAGGGACTCCCACACTCTTCCTGGGCAAAAGGGCTGTGGCATCAAATAACTGTGGAAATGCTGGGTTAAATCGGTAAATCGGGTTTGTTTACTGCTGGACTTCTCGGTGCCTTTTGCTTGTGAAGCTCCATTAGGCGTGCAGACAAGTTCCCCAAAGGTATCTGGGTTTGGAAGATAACTCCACAACCTTTGGAGTTCTAAGAATTTCTGAGAATCAGACATGCTGACTGAGCTAGAGGTTGAAGTCTGTAACGTAGGACTGGTCACAGATCCAGCCCTGTGGCCGGCAGCGCCTGGACACGGGTGCTCAGTGACCAGGGACAGGCCCAGCCTGACCGCCACGCTGACCTCTTTTGTAGGTGAATCTGGCGACCACTTCTATTTCCAAAATGGCCTCAGATTTTGCAGAGAATGAGCTGGATCTGTTCAGAAAGGCTGTAAGTACAGTAGCTCCTGTTTATCGGCCGGGCTTCTTATGGGAAACCTGCTGTCTTCCATCATTAGAAATGGGAACCGTGATCTTGGAGGGTCACCACTGCTGCCCCAGGTGGCCATGTGCAGGGGGCCGCTGGGCAGCTCACCACCACCGGGTGATGACGGGAGGGCGCCACAGCTGCTCAGGAAGGAAGAGCTTCTCTAGGTTTGCACCAGGCCTCTGGGTGTGCGATGCAGGTGAACAGGTGTTGCTGCCTGGCGCTCACGGCACGATCCACACCCGCAGCAGCCGCACCAGGGAGCTTGCTAGAAAGGCCGAATCCCAGTCCCCGTCCCCCCGCCCCCTGGACCGTTGAATCCAGGTCTACGTTTTAACGAGGTGCCCCGACGGCACATTTCACGTTTGAGAGGCGCTGCTCTGCCTCCCCAGCATCAGAGCTGTTGGCTCAGCCCTCCTGTCACTCACCTGGCTGAGCACCTGCTCCCGACAGGGGTTCTCAGCCCTGGATGCACCTTCTAATAACCGGGAGGTAAAAACAGCTGAGACAGTCTGGCCTCACCCAGATCTGGCGAATCCAAGTCTCTGATGACCAGTCCTAGAATCATTCCTTTCTGAGCCTCCTCTGGTGACAGTTGGCCCCCGAGCGTGCCTGCTTCCTGGCCCACCCTGGCTTTGCTGTCCTGTCCTTCCTGCCTCCAGCTTGCCCCTCACCCCTGATGTCCTGCCCACGTGTGAGTAGGAGGGTGCTGCCTCAGTTCATTCATTCCCCAGCTTCTCTACCTTTAGGGAGGTGGGGGGGGTGAGAGCAGATTCTTGATTTGGGGGGCATTAAGGTCATTCATTTGGCAGGTCACAGGGTGAGCGCTGAGTCAGAAGGGCTGGCCGTGGTTACGGCTTTTGGTGCTGGTTATGAACCGGCTTCCCGAAGGAGCGTCCCCGGGCCCAGTTCTGCCTGCGGGTGGGAGCGGTTTCGCTGCGCCCTGGCCAGGATCCGTGTTCTTGCTCAAACGTTGTTTTTGCCGATTTGATAGATGAACGTGGGACCTGCTCTTTCTTCCAGCTGGAACTGATTATTGACTCAGAAACTGGCTTTGCGTCTTCCACAAATATTTTGAACCTGGTTGATCAACTTAAAGGCAAGAAGATGAGGAAGAAGGAAGCAGAACAGGTGTTGCAGAAGTTTGTACAGAACAAATGGCTGATCGAGGTAGCAAGTCCAGTGCTTCCCCTGGCTCGGCTCACTGTTCAGAACAGATAACGAGTTTTCCTCCGAAACCATATCGTATTCAGTTGTTGTCCATTGAGCTGGGGTCGGGCCCCTTGTCTGCTTTAATGCTCACCATGTCCCCGAGAAGGCCTTGCAGCCTCCTGCTTGCTCCCGTGGGGTGCCCCAGGAGCAGGGACCGCACCCAGGTTTGGGGCCCTGGTCCAGACGTGGGGCGGTGGGTGCGGCTCTGGCGTCGGACCTGGGCCTGGTTCCTGGGCAGGGGGGCTGGAACCCCTCTTCTGTGAGCGGGGAGGAGCCGTGTCCCCTCCCGGGCAGGAATGGGACGGCCGATGCCCAGCGCCCGGTGCTGGGCTCCCAGAGGAATTGCCGTCCTTGCGGTTGCTATCGTCAGTGTCACGTCATTCAGGGCCTTTCGCTTGGACACTGGCCCTGGAGAGCCGAGAGGACATGGGGGCAGGTGCTGGAGGGGAGCTGGGGACATCCGGGAAGGGACCGGACGGCGCTGACATTCCCGTTTCTCGACCCCGTGGCTGCTTCTGCTGACTGGAGCGGAGCAGATGTGTCCGGGCTTTTTCCACAAAGGGCAGTGCTGCTGCTAGGAACCCTGAGGCAGACGGGCCCCGCGCTGGCCCCTGACCTCGGCCGTGCCCGCGCCCGCGTGCTCGGGGCAGCCCTCCACCTCCTCCCCCGGTGGTCGGAGCGGCGGCTGCAGGCCCAGCCCGCGTGGCCGCTGCTCGTGGGGAGGCGCTGATCCACCTCCCTTCCAGGGAGAGCCTGCTCGGGTCACCAGAGCTGCTCCCGCAGTGCCTGAGGCGCTCCCCTGGCTGGACGGGCCACAGGGCCCAGGGCAGGGGTGCCGGGACCCCACCCCCACCCCCCTGGGCGGCCTTGGGTCCTCCCGTGGCCCTGTGACGACAGAGAGCCCTTTGGCTCTGGCGTTGAGCCGACCGCGCCACAGCCCCGTGGCGTGGGTGATGTCCCCTGTCCAGCCAGGGCTCTGGAGACTGCAGCTCCCAACAATTGCTGTGTCTGGGCTCTCTTCCTCTCTGGGGCAGGCCTGGCAGGAGGGAACATTCTCGGGCAGCTGGGGTCATAACCGGCTGAGCTCTGCGAGCGTTTGTAAGGGCGGGTCCACGACGCCTCCTTGTGCCTTATGGCCCTGCAGATGCTCCGTCAGCGCTGCTGGGGGCACGGTGGGCCGGGAGGGGGCGTTCCAGAAACTTCCCTCCAAATATACAAGAAGCACTCACTCGCTCCTCACGGGAAGGTGAGAGAATAACCGATCTTCACGAAGAAACACACTGCGGTCACCTGCTGGTCAGCCCCGCAGAGCCACCACTCTGGGAGCCCTGAGCACCCTGCTGTGGCCCCGCGAGTTACCATGTACATCCAGGGCACAGACGTGATTGTGTCCCAGTGGCAGGGGCCGGAGGGCGGGTGGCCCCCAGGTGGGCTCTGCTGACGGCCACACCTCCACGCCTCAGGGGCCACTGAGCTGTGGGGCCTGAGCTCCAAGGATAGTTGCGAGGCCTGGGAGATCGTGGGAGGTTGGGTCTTCTTTGGGGGTTAGGGCACCTCGCCTGACCTCTCTATGATGGGGCCCCCACAAGACCGAGTGGGGTCGTGAACGATAAGCACTGGGCACAGTTCCAGGCACACAGTAGACGTTCAGTAAATGTGGCTCGGGCCCAACCGTGAACTTGAACTTGTTCATTGGGGCCTCGGGCATTCCTCAGTGGTCTCAAGGCAGGGTCGACTTCACCTTCCCTGGGAGGTTTACCACAGGACTGCCAAGCGCTGAGCCCCACACTAGGCCTCGGGACACAAGGGCAGCCCCGGGCCCACGGTGTGGGCAGAGCCAGAGATTGAGCAGGCAGCTGCGGAAGTCGAGGGAAACACGTCCTAGGACAGCCCTTCCCCAACCGAGGCAATGACACTGGAGCTGAAGGCGGCGCGGGGGTGCGGGAGCCGGCTAGAGTGCTGGCTGGGGGAGGAGAGGAAGGGGTGAGCGCTGGGGCAGGGGCTGTGCCCAGTTCGCCCTGCGGGGAGACTGCCTCCCTCTCCCGGCTCCGCGTGCTCCCCGCAGGAGGGCTGTCGGCACCCCCGTTCACGCTTGTGCGGCACAAGCGAGGTGCCGAGGCAAGGGCCCGGGGAGCCGCACGTCGGCTCCCTTTTCCGCCTCGGCCTAGGTTGTCCCGGCTTGTGGCTCTGCCAGGCGGCCGGCGTGGCCACCTGTCAGCCGGGGCTGGTGGAAACGGGCCGCGTGAGGGGCGCCCAGCCCTGTGCAGCTTCCTGGGCTGTGGGCCGTGGGCCTGCCGGGCGGGGAAGGGGCTGGCGTGAGGGGGGCTGAGACCTGGCCGCGTCCCGTCCTGTCCTGCAGAAGGAAGGGGAGTTCACCCTGCACAGCCGGGCCATCCTGGAGATGGAGCAGTACATCCGGGAGACGTACCCCGATGCTGTGAAGATCTGCAACATCTGCCACAGCCTCCTCATCCAGGTACCAGGCCGGTGGCGGGGTGAGCCGGCGCCCCCAGGGACCCGTGGGCTCTGAGCCCCCGCCTCGGGCACCGGCGGATGGAGGCCATCCCCTGGGAAGTGTCTGAGGACGGCCACGCGCGCGCCCTCCTTTTCTCGTCCCTGGTCCCTCGGCTCTAGGCCAGGGCCTCTCAGAGGCCTGCGTGTAGCCCGTCATCCTGGTGCTGGCGTGGGGACGTCTGGCGGCTGTTCTGTCCTGTGCGGCCCGCTTGCCGGGGCTTCCCTGCGGGCGGGCCAGTGCTGGGCGCTTGGGGGTTCCTCCTCCGACGCGTACCTTGCCACCATGGTCAGCTGCGCCCCGACGAGTCACTTTGCACAGGCGCCCTTGGGCACCTGGGCTTGTTTCCTTGGGCCGGCTTCCCGGAAGTGCAGTTTCTGGCACAGCGTTCACGTGTTCTTAAAGCCTCTGAGCCACATTGCCAGATAGCCTCCCGAAAGGCTGCAGTCATGCGCACGGACCCTGTACGCGCTGAGCGCCCGCGTGCGCCAGGAGCCCGGGTTTCCGAGGCCGCCTGGCTGTGCTGTGGGGCTGGGCCCGCCGCCACCACGCTCTGGCCAGTAGAGTTTTGGTTTTTTGTTTGAGATTTTTATTTGAGAGAGGAAGAGTGTGGGGAGGGGGAGCAGGTAGGGGCAGAGGGAGAGGGAGAAGCAGGCTCCCCACTGAGCAGGGACCCGACCCGGGGCTCGATCCCAGGACCCCGGGATCATGACCTGAGCCGAAGGCAGCCGCTTAAGCGACGGAGCCACCCCGGCGTCCCGCTGTTAAGAGTTTTGAGTGTCCTCTACCTATGTTCATTTCTCAGAATTTTTTTTTTTTTTTTAAAGATTTTATTTATTTATTCATGAGAGACAGAGAGAGAGGCAGAGGGAGAAGCAGGCTCCCAAGGAGCAGAGAGCCTGATGCGGGACTCGATCCCAGGACCCTGGGATCATGACCTGAGCCGAAGGCAGATGCTTAACCATCTGAGCCACCCAGGCACCCTCTCAGAATTTTTTAATAACAGTTCCTACAAGCCCTTGTGCTCAGGGCTTTGGAATTATCCTTCATCTGGGGCCTGGAAGACAAGACCATGGAGCCTGTTGGACGTTTTCCTGGCCATTTGTGGAAGGTTTGTGAACACGGAGCGAGGCTCCACGGCCGTTGCCTTTCTGGTTTCAGGGTCAAAGCTGTGAGACGTGTGGGATCAGGATGCACTTACCTTGCACGGCCAAGTATTTCCAGTCCAGTCCCGAGCCCCGCTGTCCCCACTGTAATGACTACTGGCCCCACGAGATACCAGGTTCGCATCACCATGGTGCTCGGGGGCTGTCCCCCAGCCTCTGGGAGGGGCTGGGTGGCAGGACTGAGGGGACATCTGGGGACGGGGAGCACTCAGGCGAGGGCTCCGCGTGTGCAGGTGTGTGTGAGAGGACCCGAACCCACGCGCTGAAGCAGCTCCTGCAGTACGCAGAGGCCTCCTGCTCGCACACTGCCAAGGGCTCTTAGAACCCAGGAGAACCCTTAGGTCATGTGTCTAGACCTGTCTGGTCTATACAGCCCCCCGGCAGCCGTCCGGGGACAGGAGGTGACCCCCCTTCCTGGCTGCGGTGGGGGTGGGGCGCGAGGACAGAGCCCTCGGCAGGGGACCCATAGCTGCGGTCTCGAGCTGCTGTCGTGTGCGTGTGTCACGCTGCTGCTCATGGTACCTTCCGGCCTTTTCTGTGTGCAGAGGTCTTCGATCCCGAGAAGGAGCGGGAGGCTGGTACCTCCAGGGCCAACAAGAGGTCCTTGCGGTCCAGGCAGCACTAGCTGGTGCGCTGCTACGGGGCTCGCTGCCTTCAGGGACAGCCGGCAGGCCCTGTTTGGGAGATGGTGCTTCACGTTGCACCTGAGCCCCCGTCTGCTTTGTGATCACTCGTGAGCAGGTTTGGAATAAAAGTTACTAAGGAGTCCTCGCTGCAGCCTCGGTCTGTGGTCGCGCGCCCCCTAGGAGGCTTCCCGGGGTGGCTCCCAGATAACGGAGAACCCCTCGGCTTGGGTCCCCGCTGGGGAAGCTGCCAGAGCTCCTCCCGCACGACACCCGCCCAGCTGCTCAGCCTCAGCCCCCGGCTTGGGTCACTCATGCCATCAACACTGGCCGGCCCAGCCCTCCCCAGCCCCCCACAGCCCGGACCCTCCTCTGGCCCGAGGTGCAGCTTGCCTGACGGGCCAGAGGCTGCTCTCCTCACTGGGGGCCTCCGCCCCTGCCTGGTGAAGGGCAGCGCCACCATCAGCCATCCTGTCGGCCTAGATGCCCCCTCCTCCCTGGCTCACCTGCCACCGAACACTGTCCAGGCCCCCGCCCCCTCTGCCAGCTCAGCTCCTGGCCGCGGCCAGCCCGCCTGCTCCAGGCTCTTCCACCGCGGCGATCCGGCCACCACCCATCAGCGCGGCATGCCCCGCTGAGAACTGACGGCCCCGCTGCCTTGGGGCCCGGGTGCAGACTGAGGATTCACGGGCCGGCGCTGAGGCCCATCTCACCACCTCTCCAGGCCCGCTTTGCCCCACATGGCATTTCCTTCCCTCCTGAAAGCGCCCTCTCTTCCTGGCCCCTGAGCCCCTGCACACATTGTGCCCTAGGCCTGCACAATTTCCCTCCTCGTTTCCCGCCACTGGCCTGCTCCCCGGCCGCTCTTCGGATCTTGTCACGGCTTCCAGCCCTCGGTCCCCATTTTCCCGCACATCCCTGCTCATCACACCTGCCACACTTCTGACTCCCATCTCCTTGTCTCTTCCACCCCGATATCAGTCAGCCCAATGTGGCTAAACAAGGAGGGACTTGGCCAGACGGGGTCCTTCAGGAGAGGCTTGACCTGGTGGGTCCTGTGATGTCACCAAGCATCCACATCGCTGCCTCTAATTTTCATTGAGCTGGCCTTGTGCTTACAGTCTCCCAGAAAATCTAGCCACTTTCTTCCTGCTAGCCATCCTTCCAGGCCTCACACGCCACTGCGCTGTGTTGGGAGGAAGAGGGCGCGTCTCATTAACTGGCTTGCCTGCCCCGGCAAACACGCTCGTGGTCCCAGCTCCACTCTGGATACTTACAGAGGCGGGGATGGGACAGGATAGTCCAGTTGGCATTGGCAAATCGGCGCTTGCCTCTGAGCCACAGAGTTCTCTCCCAAAGATAACGGGATGCTCTTATCAGGCAAACGGGGAATGAACTTGGCACCAAATGGGCAGGTGGCCTCCACCCGTGGTCTGTTCCACAAGCCCGGTGCACAGGGGGCATCTAGCATCTAGGACGTGATGGACAAATGGTGCCGGCTGGTGAGAGGCTCACCCTCCCAGCCTCAGGTGAGTCTCCTCATCACCCGGCATCCCAGTGATGATGCTCCCAACGGAGCCTCTGGGGGCCAGGCTGGGATCCCGGCACAGGAGGGATCTGGAGGCAAACAGCAGCCCCCCAATAGAGCCCCATGGGCACCCCCCGACTGTGTAGGGAGGTCTGGTGTCAAGCAGGCAATGGAAAGCATCCCCACCAGCTTAAGCAGAGAAGAGCTTTCTTGGAAGGGTACAAGGAAATCTGCAGAGATGACAGGAAGGCAGGAAAACCAGTGGAGAAAGGATGGACCCTGGAGCTTGGGGTTTGGGGGGGCCCGGGGGCTTCCCACAGCCCGAGGAGGGGCAGGGTTGTACCACGCAGGTCCAGGTGAGTCCTAGCTGTGACTCCAGAAGCTGAGCCCCTGGCCCCTGGGGACACAGGCCCCCCGGCTCTCAGTCTCCCAGCGTTGATCCCAACTTGAACTTCCCGAGGACTCCCTGACAGCACACGACAAAACCTCATACACAGTTCTAAGATCATGTCTGGCACTCGAGGCTTTGGGGATTGGGCCGTTGCCCGCCTCTCTGCCCAGCCCGTCTCCCCCCTCTCTGCTCCCTGCTGACACTCCTGACTCGGTCACTCCGAGAGCTACCGATGGGACAGGTGACACAGCTGTTCCGCTTTCCGGGCTCACCCTGCTGGCCCTTCTCACAGCAGCTTGCAGACCCGGCTCCCCCTACAGGCGCAGTCCCAATCGTCCCCCCCGCCCCCCGCCCCTGGTGCTCCGGCTGCACGGGGTCCCTCCCTCTCCCCCGGTGCCTGAGCCTTCCTGCCCCAGGGCCGCTGCACCTGCTGCTGGGAGCGCCTCCTCAAACCTCATGGCCGGTTGCGGCCTCCTGGTCATTCCGGCTACTCAGATGTCATCTGTGCTAAGTCCCGTCCCCGGTCCGCCCTGTCGCGGTCCCTTCACAGGCCTCGCCACGATCCGCACCTTACTGCACTGTCCCTCCTGTCCGGATGCCGGGACAGGGCCGCATCCGGCTCGAGGCCTCACGTGCCTGCGTCGGACCAGCCCAGGGCCGGCCTCTGCAGCTCAGGCGGGTCGGGGACGGTGGCCCCGGGCTCGCCCCTTGTTGGTTCGGTGGACAGCCGGCAGGCGCTCGTCCTCCAGGCGGACCCGAGTCCGCGCTGCTCAGAGCTGAGGCCAGCCCTCCGGCCCCGCTGTTGCCGGCGGCTTTGGAGCTCGGCCCAGAGGGCACATAAAGATTTCGGCTTCTGCCCCATCCTGCCACCTGACAAGGGACAGCTGCTGCAGGCGGCCAGGCCCCTGCGTCCTGTTTTAATGCCCATGTCCTCTCGGCCGTTCGGAGCAGGAGCGGGGCCACCAGCTGGGAGAGACGGATCGTAGAGGCTACAGCCACCCTCGGCTGGGGGGCCTGAGGGAGATGCAGGCGGGCCCCCGAGTTACGGCCCACTTGTCCCCGACGGCCAGCGTGCCGGGCGCAGTGGCCTTCCCACTGCCCCGCTACCTGCAGCGGCGCGGATATCTGGGTAAGTTCTTCATCTGCCGGATTAGGCAAAGAACTATTAATAGCGCCAGATGGGGGACAAGCAGCCTCCGCAGAGAGCCCTCATTTCGCTCCCAAGTAGCTGGCCTTTGCCTCTGCCCTGCGTGGCCCCGCCGCGGCCCCGCCTCACTCCGCCTCAGCCCCCCTGCCTCCCCGCCGGCTCCATGCATATACTGATGGCCTCCCTGCCCCAAGCTCTGCGTGATCAAGCTCAAAGGCCCTGGCCCGCTTGCAGAGGAGGCGAGCGGCTAGGGTTCCAGCTGCCCACCGACGCTTCCCCACTCCTGCTCTCGCTTACCCAAGGGTCCGCGTGCTAGCCAGGCCCCGGCTGCTGAGGCTGCACCTCGTTGGTTCCCGGCCCGCCAGAGTCTTCCCTGGGGCCTTGGAGCCTGTGGGCCCTGGCACTGCGGGGACATGGAACTGGCGTGCAGGGCCACCTGCTCCCCTGGGCGGAAGGCTCTCTCTGCAAGGGGGGAATGAATGAGACCGAGGGGCAGGAGGGGGCTTCTGGGCACCGCTGAGGGTGGTTTCATGGTGCGGGGACTGGCTGCTGGGAGGGGGCACAGTTGAAAATGCAGCCTAGGAGATGGCCATGGCCACCCGTCAGGCCGTGCGTGCATAATGACAACAGAAACCTCCCCAGACTCCCCGCTGCCGGCAGGGCTGGGCTGAGCAAGCCGAGAGGGACCGTCGCCCGTGGCCAGCGCCTCCTCCAGAGTCTGCGGGTTGGGGCTGTCCTGTCAGGCCAGTCATGACAAACAAGTCGGGGGCAATCACAGTAATTATTAAGATCAGACAGCAGCTAATGCTCGTGGACCTGCCGGGGCTCTGTCCGCGCACTGCCTCTCAAACTCTCCGTGGTGGGTGCTCGAGCTGCCCTGTTTTCCCCATGGAGACACACACAGTGAGGTATCCATCCCACCTCTCCCACAGCAAGTAAGCCAAGGGGCCAGGTCTGAATCCAGGCAGCCGACCTCAGAGCCCACCCCTAACGCCGTGCACACTGCCAGTCCGTGTCCCCAGCACCTCAGGCCTCACGATGCCCGGGGTCTCCAGGCGGGGTGTCGGCCGGGGACGTCCTCCTGGGGTCTGGCCCACCTGCCTCTGCTGCACGTACCTGGCCCGGAGCGTGCGCCTTGCTGCACCCTCGCCCCGTGTCCGGCCAGCGCCCAGCCTGGTCTCCAGCAAAGGCTCCGGCACAGGCCGGGTGTGGAGCAGGGGACGCGTCTCGGACCCTTGCACCCTGGCTACGACCACCAGAAGCTGACGGAGAAGCTCAAGTCCAGAGCCCGCACGTAATGCCAGTACTGAACCGGGATAAACAGGATCTCTCCGGGAGACAGGACGCAGGACAGGAACGGGGCCTCAGCAAACTTGGGGAACTTCTCCAGGTCGGGATTCTCCACGTCAACCTGAAGAAAACCCGAGCGGTCACCTGCCTGGTCTCCAGGGATGGGTGGGAGAATCTGCAGCGTCACGCGGGGTCCCCGAGCACCCACCTGGCTCGTGTTATGAAGAAGGTGCGTCTCGTGTGCATATAAAGCCTCTGACTCCTGCGGGGAATACAGCCGGATGTACTTCCTGCCGAGCACCTGGGAAGACGGTGACTCGTCACTCAGCTGCTGCCCCCAGCGCCACGGCTGCCCCCCGCGGACCGCAGGTCCCTGAACCCACCAGCCTCCCACACCTCTCCGCGCCTTTCCACGTGCTGTTCCCTGCGCCCAGACTGCCCCATCCCTGCCATGCCCGTTCCAGGCCAGGCATAGGTTTAGCCTCCAAATATATTATGGATCAGTAACTAGAGAGGCTAGCCAAGTGGCTCAAGGTCACCAGGCTGAATAGTGACAGGGCTGGCATTCACACCAAGCAGTGGCTCCGGGGCCCAGCTCTCAGCCCCTCTAGTGCCTCTGCTGGAAGAACGTTCTCATCTGTTAAACCTCTGCCTGCAAAAAATAAGGTGGTTTCACAACAGGTGCCCCTCCCCTTGCAATAAGCACACCTGCTCCCTGTCTGGGTCAGGGTCTCAGGACACACCATCCAGTGGCCGGGAAGCCGTGCCTCGTCTGGGGAGAGGTGCTGGCAGGGGGAAACCGGCCTGGTTCTGATGGAAGGGGGGTGGCGGGGGGAGGCAGAGGACACGCAGTGTGAGGGCACTCGCTCCGTCCCGAGACGGCCCTGCTCTGCCCGAGTGACGCGGCCACCATCCCGGGGGTTGCTGGTCCCGGAACCACACCTGGAACCAGCCTCCGCCGGAAGGAGGGCCCCAGAGGGGCCTGGTACCGTCTCTCTGATTTCATTTTTGTCCACACCCCTCTCTCTGGTGTTTAAACACGGGTAACGTGGCCAGGCTGCGCGGGGCCGGGCTGGGGAGGCACAAGGCCGACGCTCTGGAGCAACTCCCACCTGGACCAGAAAGTTCTGCTGAGGGTCCTGATGAAGGGGGGACACGGTTCCTTGGGGACCAAACCAGGCATTAATGGTGATCTCTTCCTCCTCCCCGTCGCCCAGGCAGCAGTAGTCCGGGATGCCGATGTCCTGCTTCAGCTCTGGGATCTGTGGGGTCAGAGCACAGGTGGGAAGGCCGAGCCCCGGCCGGGGACGCACCAGCCCCAAAGTCAATGGACCATCTCACAGGACGGCCAAACACACACTGCCTTTTTACAGTGTGATCTCTCCCGGAGAGATCCTGTTTATCCCGGTTCAGTAAACTACGTCTGCGTTTTACTGTGGGGGAATTGAAAAACCAATTGAAGAAATTAATATATAGGGACACCTGGGTGGCTCAGTCTGTTGAGCATCCGACTCTTGATTTCGCCTCAGGCTGTGATCTCATGAGATCGGGCCCCATGTTGGGCTCTGTGCTCAGCACAGAGTCTCCTTGTCCCTCTCCCTCTGCCCCTCCCACATGCAAGCTCTCTCTCTCAAGTAAATAAATACATAAAATTTTTAAAAAAAAGAAAGAAAAAATAAATATATAATCATTAGGAAAGAGTTACATATAATTTTATTTCCAGATTTGTTTCCCTGTCATGTGCATTTTATCTTCGTTTCCTTTTTGAAAACCTGATAGCACTGCTTTGCACTTAAAAATACACCAGCTCGCAATGTTCTGCAGAGTGCCACGTTTTTGAAAATCAAATCAAAGAAAAAAACAGAAAGAAAATGGGGTTGGGTATTTATCAAATCTCTGGAAAGGGAGATTCCCCAAAATGGACTAAGGAGAAAGCAGTCACCGTGCATACATTTTAAATACGTTCATGAATCCAAAGGCCAATAAAGGGAGAAACTTTTGCACTGTGGTACCCAAGGGTTAAACATAATAAGGATCCCGGTACATAAGCTACATGAATAATCAAAGGGCAAAAACCAGACACTATGTAGAAATGAGTTCCATACAAGGGAGGTGCTGTTGGCTCCCCGCCCCGGCTGCCGTCCCTGACCCGCCGACAAGAGGTGCTTTCAGACAGCAAGCATGGTGTCCCCTCTGGAGTTCGCTTCTAGCCCTGCGTCCTCCCTGCTCCCTGGCTGGGCCTTCAGAGGGCCCCGCTGGGGCTGCACCCCGCAGAAGGGCCCCAGCACCCCTGCTCAGGGCTGGTGAGGGGTCCGGACACCCCGGGGAGGGGGCCGCGGGCCCGCTCCCCTGGATGTATCCCTCGCCGGGCCTTCTGAAGGCCCATCAGATGCCGGTTCTCTCCCACGGAGGCCAGGCCTCCATGGCCCCCGCAGCCCCAAGCCTCGAAGACTGCCTGCTACCGGGGCAGGTGGCTCGGCGGCTCGGGGAAATTCCACAGAAACCGACGCCTGGTCCCTAATGGGTGGCGGTGGGGGGAACCCCTCGGCTACTTTCCTCAGGTATCTTGAGAGGGACGTCTCCCTGCTCTGAAGGGGCAGCTGCAGGCAGGCTTTCGCCATCTTTCAGTCATAGCTGCTCCAAGTTCAGGGTGCTGGCCAAGAAGCCACTGATGGATCCTTGGGAATGGCTGGAATGTTCTCCCTGCAGGGACCTCAGGCTGTTCTGTCTCAAACAGCCTGTGCAGAAGTAGAGAAATGCGGCTGTGTCCACTGCTCCGAGCTAACGTACAAGTTCCCAGTCTGGGGTCCCCTGTCCTGTCGGCCCGTGGGGTGGCCGGTAGGGTGGGGGGTGGCAGGAGATGCCAAAGGCCTCTGGGAGCCTCCTGCTTCTCCATCACCACGAGGCTCGGTCACACACAGCTGCTTCCTGCTGGGACGCTCGGAAGCTGATTGGTCCCTGATGACATCATCAGGGTTTCTGGACTGTGACTGGTTGGTCAAATGGTGAGAGCCACTGGCTACTGGCCACGGATTCACAGACCACCCCCCCCAAGAGAAGGAATGCTCCCATCATGTGACCGATAATTAAAGGGAGGCCTAGTGTGGTGGCCACAATCTCCCACAACATGGGGCCCCTGGGAGAAAAGTCAGTAAGAGGTTTTTGGGCAAGAGGTTTCAGGTGGGAGCCACTGAGCTTCGTGGAAGCAGAGAAGGCCCCACAAAGCAGTGCGGGGGCCTGCCAGGTGGCACTCTGGGCAGCAGAGGTGAAAACACACCTCTGGGGACCCGAGAGAAAGATCCAGGTGGCCCTCCAAAAGGCAAAATGTCTTCAAGGTCTTGGTTCGTCTTAAAAACAATTGGGCACTTTGCCTTCTGCTTCTCAAACTGCTTCCTCTTGTTCTAGTAAAATCGAAAATGGCTGCCCTAGGACAGGGAGGCGAGTTTACCTGTGGCTTCACAGGGCCCACGGGAGGTGTGACCAAGTTCAGGGGACAGGCTGGTCACTTGGGATGGCACAGTAGGGGCCTGCTCGCTAGACTCCCCCTTTCCTTCGGAGAGGGCAGGAGGCAGGATCTAAAGTCCTAATTCGGGAGGCCTGGGAAAGAGAGTGCAGCCCACCCAGCCCCCACCCACTCCGGCCCCTTTAATTTTGGGTGCGCAGGCTCCTGGGGGCTGGGACAGCCCCAACTGGACCTGGGTCCCCTGTCAGGACGGGCAGTGAGAGTAGCCCTAGCCCAGGGGCAGACCCGGCAGACCTTGGCTGTGGTTCGGGCCCTGACTGACCCAGATCTCCCCCTTCGGGGCATAACTCCCCATCCCCGCCCAGGCCAGGTGCTGCCCTGCCCGGGCATTCCTGCTGGGCCCCACCACAGTGTCTGTAGTCTGGCCGAGACACCAGCGAAGTCCCTCCTGGATCCCTCGGCTCCACTGACCGGGCGCTCGGGTCTCAAGTCTAGAGTTTTCCTTGACTGCTCCCTTTCCCTCGGCCTCGCCCAGCCACCTGTGTGCAGGTGCTGGCAGCTGGCACCAGGCTGGAAGCTGTCCGCTTCCCCGGGCATCAGCTCCCCCTGGACTACGGCAGCAGCCTCCTGGGGGTCTCCCCGCTGCCCCACCCGCCCACCTTCCATTCCCCTCCAGGACTGGGCCTCGGCCATCTGAGAAGGCCCCCAACCCTCCCACGCGGCCCCAGGCATGGGAAAGACCATCCTTCCTCTTCCAGCCCCACCTGCTTCTTCCCCGCCCCCCCCAACCCCAGGCACTCGGCTCCAGCCCCGCTCAAGGGGCAAGTCCGCTCCTGCTGCCCCCCCTTGCTGGCATGCCCCCCTCTTGTCTCCTTTTAGACAAAAGAAGAAAGTTAAGGATTGGCATCAAATACGGCTCTTACACTAGACAACTAGCTTAGACCCAGAACGTATACAGAGGACTCCTAACACTCAAAAGACAAACGACCCAATAAAAAAAGTGGGCAAAACATCCGCCCCATGGCTGGAGGCTGCTCATCTTCGAGGTCGCCACTGAAGTCTCACCTCCTGTAGACGCCTTCCCTGCCCCTGGGCTCCCCAGAGCCACCGCCACAAGGCTGCCTCTGTTCTTCTCTTGGGGGCGCTCGTCACCAGCTGATGTACTTGGATTTCAGGTCCACTGGGACGGGAGGGGCGGCTCTTCCTTACCCTGTCCCCCCCCAGGGCCAGACCCAGAGCAGGGTGCAGAGGGGCTCACGAGGAAGCCCAGGCCCGGGGCAGCATTCTGGCCCCCCGCTCCCAGAACAGAGTGAAGTGAGTGGGGGGACAGGGCAGGGGGTGGACAGAAGGAAACTGTTCAGTGACCTCCCTGGGATAAGCTGTCAGGTTGTTTCAGCCTAACCAGATGGCTCTGAAAACTCGGAAGGCAATCGGGTTCCACTTCACTTTGTTCCCTTGTTGTGTCTACATTTAAAAATAAAGTCTATTTTTTCTCATGATGATGAGCATACGGGCTCATTCTAGATGCTTTGCAAATTGCAGAGAAGAACAGGAAAAACCGCACACCATGTGACCACGCACAAGCGCTGTTCATCTTCTGGGGCACCTCCTGTTCTCACCAGAGCGGAGCTCCCTCTGTCCATGGCGCATCCTCGCTTTCTCACTTCCCCGCAGCCAGGCAGCCCCCGGGGTCCCACCAGCGCGTCGTGACCCCCTCCTCACCGTGTGCTCGGGGCGCCGGGTAACAGGTGCACGGGACACGCGCTGCCGGGGTGGGGGCTGGGAGCCATCCTGCATTTCTGTCAGCTCCTGGGGCGCTGGTGGGGCCACCCTGTCATGCTCCCTTCTTAGGGCTGACCGGTGACAGTGACGGAGAAAGCCGGAGCAGGACTTCTGCCCTGCCCCCACCCCAGTCTCTCCTGATGGATCTCCCCGGAATACCTCCTCTTACTGGGATCCTCCTGCTCAGAAACCTCCCAGGGCTCCCTGCTGCCTTGCAGATAAATCCGAGTTCTTGGTCTGACCTTCAAGGCTCGCCCAGTTGGGGCCCAGCCTCCCTCTTTGCCTTCTCGCTCTGCTCTTCTGAACACATCTCCCAGGCAGGTGGATGCACCCAGCACAGGGGGCCCGCTCCAGAGTGCACCCCTGAGCCTCAGTGCATGAGGTGCCTCTCCCTGCAATGTCCTCCTGCCTCCGGCCTGGCTGGACCCCGCTCCTCCTCTCAGCCTCAGCCTGAGACCCCCTCCGCCTTCAGCCTTCAAGCAGTCTGTCCTGAGGGTCTTCAGTCTGGCCAACCAGGGCTGGGGACCCAGAGGAACTGAACCCGGCCCCTGCCAGGAGCACACAGGCCCAGCTGGGGGGAGACGGCCTCGTGAGCTGACAGCTGAGATGGGCTAAGGACGGTGCTGGGAACCCCCCTGGAAAACCCCCCTGGAAAACCCACGGTCAAGGACAGCAGGGACCTGCTCTTTCCGGGTTGGGTCAGAGCCTGCTGCCCTCACTCGGCTCCCCAGGACCCATTCCTCTACGTCCGACCACAACTGCTTCCACTTCGCTGGGGCCACCTCCTTCCGATGCCGTGGCCTCCTCACCCCCCCACCCCAGGCTTGGGGCCCTGAGGTCGGCACGCCCAGTCTCCCGCTCGCCACCTGCTGCCCGCTGGTGAGGGGGACACGGGCGCCACCCCTGTGGGTGGCCCAAGAGGCTGCTAGAGCCTTTCCAGCCCTCTGCGGCTCAGAGCCCAGGAAGGGAGGTGGGAGAAGGTGGCAGGGTCAAGGACAGAGGAGCGTGGTCTCAGACTTACCTGGTCAAAGAGCTGGTGCTGCGCGAGGTACCCGACGTCCCTCGACTGATCCGCGGAAGGAAAACCGGAAGCGACACAGAAAAAGCCTGGTTAGCCGTAAGGAGCACCCTCCAGGCACTGTTCCGCTCGCTCTTGGCACCGGGTGCGCCCCAGCCACGGGCAGCCAGCTGGCAAGTGCGTCCCGTCCCCCTTGGGCCCCTCTGTGCCCCAGGGGCGAACATCGGCGATGCTCTCCCTCTTGCGGGCAGCGCTGGGCCCCAGGGAGACTCAGGATCTGGGGCCGCCTCTGTAGGGATGCCCCAGGCTCAGTTTCCCCCCATGAAAATGAAGAGGCTGTACACCCATGAGGATTTCTTTTATAAATAAAAATGGAATGGTATCATATGTATTACTTGGAAATCTTTGTTTCATTTAATGACAAACCTCATGAGTATCTCCTCAGGTGAGTACGTACAGATCTGCCTCATTTTTTTTTTTGACGGATACATGTTTTATAGGCAGGACACCCCATGAATTCAATCACCCCCTGCTGGTGGACAGTCAGGTTATTTAGCCAGTGTTTCCATAAACAGCCTAATATTCTGGTCCTTATATTTATGTCCTTCCAAAAACAGAACAACTGAGTCAAGGAGTGTGTGCATTTTAAATTCTAGTAGCTTCTGCCAGCTTATTTTCCCAAAATTAACCATGTACTGACTTCCCAGCACAACTGTGAGCACCCATTTCCTGCATCCCGGCTGCACTCCCCAGAGATGATCATCTTGTGAACATCTCTGCCATCAGACGGATGGAAAGATCAGTGCCTTACAAACTGGGCTCCACAAGGCTCCAGGCCTTCTTGGGAGGTGGCGCAGGCTCTGGAAGGGCCGCTGGGGGTGGAGCACACGGGAGGCTGGCCGCCAGTCCCCCCACCATAGCCAGAGCCCCGCCGGCCTGGGTCTCCCAGGCTCTGCTGATGAACTCATTGACCGTCACGAGCGTCTGCGACCAGTCCTCGTCCGTGTACCTGGAACCGACTTCCACTGAGACAGTTTGGCAGCTGGCAATGTCTTGGATATACTCCAAACTATTATGTTGAAGGAGATGGAGGCTTCTCTCTAGAATCCCTCAAGACTTTCTCTGCTTCCAGCCCTCTCCCTAACTCCCTTCTCTTCCTGATGACTCGAAAAGTCACAACAAGCCAGACCTGGGGTTCTGTGGCGGGCAGGGCCGGATCTGTGTGATCTCTGCTGTCACGGGGATTCTGGCCCAAAGATGCTAACTCAGGTTAGCCGGGCGCTGACCATGCTGTGCTCAGAGCTTTCTGTGGTTTACTCTTCTGTGTTTCAAACTATCAACCAGCATGGTCACCCCCCAGGCCCTTGGACTGCAGCAGACCCAGATGAAACCGAATCAGAACTTTCCAGGGGCTGGGCCTGGGGCTGCCCTGGGTGTGAGTTGCTAGGAAGTGTGTGGAACAATCGCAGACCACGGATTTGAAATTCCCCGACCTCCCTCGGGAAGGGCTCTGCTCTCCGGGCCAGGAAGACGGCCGGGACTGCCGAGGCTGGGTGGATGTCCCCTCCCCGTAAGGGTCCATGCGCCACGTGCGGGCTTCCCTTCTGAGCCCAGAGGAACTGTTCGGGCCTCAGGAAGGGGAAGCCACCCCCGGCCCTTACTGTGAATAATCTGACACGAGAATACAGCACTGCTGCTTTTGGAAACCATCTGGCGGTTCCTCAAAACGGTCAAACATTTTGTGACCCGGCGATTCGGCATCTCGTATATACCCGAGAAGAACGAAAACATACGTCCACACAGAGAAACTTGGACGGGAACGTTCCCAGTGGCGCTTTTCACACCAGCCAGTGTAGACCACCTGACCGGCCATCAGCTGACGATAAACAAAATGCGGGGTGTCCACACCCCGGGATATTACCCAGCCACAGCAGGGAACCCCGAGAGTGCGGTGCCGATAGCAGCTGGACACAGAAGGCCACAGACTGTCCAATTCTGTTTCTACGCCAAGTCCAGAATTGGGAAATCCATGGAAATATAGAGCAGATTAGGGGTTGTCTATAGCAGAAGAGGAAGTGACTGCTCATGGCTACGGCATTTCTTGGGGAGTGATGAGAATGTTCTGGAATTAGATAGTGGGGATGGGTGCAAAATCTTACAAAGACACTAAAAAAAAAAAAAAAGACCTGAAATGAGTCAGCGTTCCGCATACCCTGCAGCTGGCCTTCCTCACTCTGGCCCCCCTACCAGCCCCTCCAAATCCTCGTCCTGCAGCTCCCAGATGTCCCGTGAGCTCCCACCGTAAACGCTGCGGGGGAGGAAGCACAATGACGTACCTCACTCCTGACGTATCTGCTGATGAACTCATTGACCGTCATGAGCGTCTGCGACCAGTCCTCGTCCGTGTACCTGGAACCGACTTCCACCGGGACAGTTCGGCAGCCGGCAATGTCTTGGATATACTCCAAACTAGAAGACAGATACGTATGGTCACCACTGTCGCTTTGGCTAAGACCTGCCGGGCACTCAGCCACACTGGCCTCTGGTCTCCACACAGCCCCACAGGGAGAGACTGCTGTTACCCCCCCTTCACTGGCGGGGGGCACTCGGGCACCGACACGTGGGGTGATGAGCCCACTGACACCATTGCAGAGAGATCTGGGGAGGCTGGTTCGCCAAGCTTCTTGCTGGGTGGTTCTATCGCCCTGCTGGCCGAAAGCCTCCCAGTTCTTTCTCCGCTCACCTTGTCTCTGAGCTCAGAGACCTCCGAGCAAACAGCAGACGGCACGGCGGGGGCGCTGGCTTCTGAGCTCGGGCAGCCTGGCCCTGCCCATGACCGGCCGGGGACCTCTGCCCACTGGTAAGCTAGGGTGATGACGATACCTGGCCCACGGGATGGGAATGGGGAGGACAGAGAGAGAAAACACAGCACGAGCCGATCGTGGCGGCTGGTCCATAGTAAGACCCGTAATGAATGTTTGCGGGACGATGGCCCCAGCGGCCGGTACTCTTCACGGCCTTGGTGGGAACCACTCCGTCCACGACCCACGGGAGACAGGGGAGCCGATCCATCATCCTCAGAGACCCCTGCTCCTTTCCACAGCTTCGGCATGCCGGCCACCGCCCAGTGGCCCGACCTGCTGTCACCACCATGAATCGGAGCAGATGGGAGGAGGGAACAAGCCCAGGAGCCCTGCCTGCAGGGGAGGGGGCCGTGTCTCGGGTTCGTTCTTCTGCTCTTAGGCCTCAGGGCCCCTGGGAAGGTCCAGGGGACACCTCAGATTGTGCAAAATGGCTTTAACAGACTTCACGCCGCACGAGGCGAGCACTCACTAGAACCGGCTTAGAGCAGTGAGCTGTGGAAGTACGGACCTTTCCATCTCTGCCACGAACTTGGCGCACTGCGCCTGTAATCCCCGGTTAACCCCGAGCGATCCACGCAGGGACGGTCGGGATGTGCATGTGAGGCTGCATTTCCTTGGGACGAAGGGAGACGGAATCGGGGAGTCCCCGGGTGGGGGTGGGGGGCTGGATCGGGCAGAGCCACCCACCTCCACTTCGTCATGCACGGCCACTGGTCCGCCACGCCTTCCAGGATCACAGGCCTCCCGGGAACCAGAAACTGCTTCCTGAAATGCTGGAGGGACGGACAGCGAAGCCGGGGGACCGGTCTCTCCAACGCCACATCCGGAACCGAAACAGGGTCGTCCCTCGCTTTCTGTTTAAAAATCAAAGCGCCGAGAAGTGACCATCTGAGGCGCTGGGCTGGGCGTCTGTGTCCCCGCAGGCTAGCTTACTCCGTTACTGATGACAGTGCCATACATGTTAGCACTGTCCCTGCATCCCCCTCCTCCTCTTCATTCTGGCGACACCCAGACCTTTTTCTTTACCAGTTCAAGGGTCTGTTCGATTATAAAAGGAACGTACAGACGGAAACTCCGCAAGAGAGGAAAAGTCACCACCCCAAACACCATCCGGTGTCAAAGGACCCTGTCCCGTGACCACGTGTTCCTGGCCCAGCTTCTGACGCCCAGCAGGGACGTGAGGGATGGGCAGCCCAGCTAAAGCAGGTCACAGCCCCGGCGAGGTCGTGGGAGCCCCTGCGCCAGGACTTCCCTCAACCACCTGTCAACCAAGTGACCTGAGCCAGTCACTCCCTCGGGCCTCAGTTTGCTCACCTGTCACGTTACTGGGAGAGACCTCCCAAGTAGAGCGCCCAGGATCACCGGTGGGTGGGGGTCCGCTCCCTCTGTCCCCGCGGGCCGGGTGCAAGGCCTCCCACTTGCCTGTTCTTGGCCTGTATACCCTCTGCTTTGGTTGTCACACCTGCCCTCATCGGAGGCCTCCCTGACCACCCTGTGTGAGCGAAGCTGCCTTCCCCCCTCTTCACGGCCTTGGCGGGAACCACTCTGTCCACGACCCACGGGAGACAGGGGAGCCTCACTGCGCGAGAGAAGACGTTCTTCTACAGCCTCCTAGAACCCAGGCTCCAGGAGAACAGGCCCTTCTGTATCGTACCCTCAGCGCCTGGCACATCTGGACCACCGCCTGGGCTCCAGAGAGCCGCCGAGCAAACCCCCCTTATAGGCACGGGAATGGGGACATGGAGGGGCCCAGGCCCTTGGCCGACTCCGGCAGGCCGACTCCAGAGTGTGAGCTCTCCCCCCTCAGCTACACACACTGCCCGACGCCGCCCACGCCGGGAGCATCACCTGGGGTGCGGGGCCACCTCCACGTTCCCTTGGCGCAGACCTGGCGTGGGAAAGAGAAGTGCAACCCCTGGGTCGAAGGGCACAGGCATGTCTGCCCTGCCCCGTGAAGGGTCAACCCACACGCCATGCCCGTGGCCCCCTGGCGTCCTCGGCGGCACCGGGTATCACAGGAAACCTCCTCTGAGGATTTCACGGCCAACAATGGCTGCTTCCCCGTTCCTGCCTTTTTTCTTTTTAAACCACAGGTGAGATGCAATATTTTCCCACGTGCTCGTGTCACAGACCTATTTCCTCCCAGCGACCAGACACACCCAGAGGTGTCGCAGCTGAGGGCTGCACGCCAGCGCTGGGGCCTGACTCCCTGTCTGCCACCGCCCTCAGCTCTGCGCAGTGTGCTTCGCACCCCCAAGTACCAGGAACCCCCCAGGCCAGGACCTCAAGGGCGGGACCGACCAGCCACGGGACCAGGAGGCCGCTGGAGGTAGCAGCTCGCCCCAACTCCACAGCACCGGGGGCGAGGCAGCCCGGAAAGTGGGTGACGCTTCAGCCAGCTGACCAAGAACAGGCCGGAAGGAGCGGGCCACAGCTGCCCACGGCTCTGGCCCACACGAGCCCTTCGAGCTGCCGCTCTCAGTGCCACAGAGCCTCCACCCTCCCTCTCTCCTGAAAGGGCACTGCTTTTGCCGAAAGTGTGTGTGTGTGGGGGGGGAACTGAGAAAACAGACCGGGCCGTTCCATTTCTAAATCCGCCGAGATGCTATTTTCCGCCAGAGGTCAGCACGCCGTGAGGCCTCACCCCTGGGGACAGCTGACTCCTCCCTTCTAGAAAAAACTGAGCTGTGGCGGCATGTGAGGTGTGGCAGGCGACAATCCCACCTAGATACCTTCATGCTGGGTTGCTCCTGGGCCGGGCCTGGGCCGGGCCTCTTTCCCGAGGGGAGGTGCGCCTGGAGGACGGCGGCGACTTTAATGAGGATGTCCCCATGGATGGCCGCCCCCATCAGCAGGCCCATGTCACAGGCCTTCAGGGCTGCGGCCACTGCGGGGCCATCCCCAGGCTCCTCGAACAGACACACGGCCTTCAGGAGGCAGCCGAAGGCGTAGACACGGCGCCAGTCCTTGTGGACATCCTGCCACGGGCCCGTGTTGAGTTTCTCCCAGGAGTAGTCCAGGATGGCCTCGCTGGCCTGCAGACACTCCCTCCGGCAGCCCCCGCAGAACAGCTCAGCGGCCTCCCACAGGAGCCGCACCACGCTGCGCTCTACCTTCTCCCCGAGCTCCGGCACCAGCTCCTCCTTCGTGTGGGGCAGGAGCACCCGGAGGGTCTCCCGGAGGGCGCCGGCTCCTGCCAGGGGCTCTCGGTGGTCTTCGGCCATCGGGCCCTCTGCCAGCCTAGCCTGATAAAGGTGGTGGGGGAAGAAAGAACAGTTAGAGCAAAACACCATGTTGCACACCTAAATACGCACATTTGTAGATTTTCATAAAATCAAACTGGGGCCAGGGGGAGCTAGATCTGTGATGACATCCAGTGGCCAAAATGTCAACCACTGAGAGTTTAAAAAATATATATTAAAACTCAACCTATGGAACGGGAGAAGATATTTGCAAATGACATGTCCAAAAAGGGTTAGGATCCAAAATCTATAAAGAACTGACACAACTCAACACTCAAAAAACAAATAACCCAATTCAAAAATGGGCAGAAGACATGAACAGTCATTTCTCTAAAAGAAGACATCCAAATGGCCAGCAGACATATGAAAAGATGCTCAATATCCCTCATCATCAGGGAAATGCAAATCGAAACTACAATGAGATTTTACCTCAACCTGTCAGAATGGTTAAGATCAACAACACAAGAAACAACAAGTGTGGGCGAGGATGAGGAGAAAGGGGAACCCTCGTCCATTCCCATGGTGGTGGGAATGCAAACTTGTACAGCCACCCTGGAAAAAGAGTATGGAGGTTCCTCAAAAAATTACAAACAGAACTACCCTACAACCTAGTAATCATACTCCTGGGTATCTACCCCCCAAAATACAAAAACACTAATTCAAAGGAATACATGCATCCCTATGTTTATTGCAGCATTATTTACAACAGGTGAACTATGGAAGCAGCCCACGTGTCCATCGATTGATGAATGGATAAAGATGTGATGTGATGTGTGTGTGTGTGTGTGTGTGTGTGTGGCGGGGGAGACAGAATATTACTCAACCATAAAAAATGAAATCTTGCCATTTGCAATGATGTGGATGGAGCTAGAGAGTATAATGCTAAGTGAAATAAGTCAGAGAAAGACAATTATCATATGATCTCACTCATGTGATATTTAAGAAACAAAGCAAACAAAGGAAGAGAGAGAGAGAGAAACCAAGGAGCAGACTTTTAACTAAAAAGAACAAACTGATGGTTACCAGAGGGGAGTGGAGGGAGGGATGGGTGAAATACGTGATGGGGATTAAGGAGAGCACCTATCATGATGAAAAAAATAAAATAATTAAAAAATTAAAAAGTGATAAAATATAAAAGTAAAAACTATATAAAGTTATTTTCCAAAGACAGAGAGACCACACAGACTTCCTCCCTTCCAGGTTCCCACAGTTTCTCACATGTGTCCTTTCTGACGGCATCTCATGGGTCATGATTCTACAGTGACCTTCTTCGGCTGGGCATAAACTCTGCGGGTGAGGCCCTCGTCTGTCTGGGGTCACTGTACTTTGGGGGCCTGGCACAGGACCAGGCTCACCATGGGCACCGGATAAATGTTTGCTCAGAGAGGAACATGTACTGTCCTTGTCTGGAATGCCTCTGACACCCTGCCTCTCTGGCAAACTCCTATCCAACCTTTAAGGCCCACCCTCAATGATCCTCTATGGGAAGGCTGCCAGGACCCTCAGACAGCATTTTGTGTTGGAATAGCTCTTGACTTTCTTTAACCAGCTCTTGTCCCAAACATACTCCGAGTACCGGCCTACATGTCTGTCTCTCTGATGCTAGCTGGGGAGCTTCTCCAGGGCAAGAACAGGTCTCATTTCTCTACATTTCCCTAGAGTCTGGCTCACATCAGGCACTCAATGAAGGCTCCTGAAGGAATGAGATCTTAGCTTTGCAGGAAGAAACCTGGAAATACATAAAACCTACAGAGAAAGGACAAACATCATAGTTGGTGCTTTTGGTGACATTATATATGGATGGAAGGCCGGTCCTAATGCAGAAGTACTAATACGTGAATAGATTCTAGCGGGTTCGTAATTGCCCGCAATCGATTACTCACCCATGCTGCTCTGCGCTAGGTGTACTAACAGCTGTTATATCCCCTATCTCATTGGATGCCAAGAAATAGGGACCTTTGTGCTTTTTGCAGACTGCTCTAGGGCTCAGCAGACTCCTTCTGTAGAGGGCCAGACAGTCCACATTTCGGGCCTGGCAGGCGGGACAGTCACCGCTGTGACTGTTCTGCCAATGCAGCGTGTCCGGTATGTAAACAAATGGGCATGGCCACGTTCCAATAAAACTTTATTGACAAAAACACACCCTTGCTTCAGGCTCCCCAAAATCCAGTTCATCTTCTTCCTGGGCACACAGACTACATTTCCAGGTTTTCCTTGCAATGAGATGTGACCATGCCACCAAGTGGTAGCTAAAGTGAATGTGTGACAGAGCCACTTCCAGGTCTGGCCCGCGCTCACCTCCTAGAGGATTTTTCACGCTTTCCCTACCCACTGGCTGGAAGTGAAGGGACTCTGAGGCCCTAAGGGATGACAGAGCCACAGAAGCCACCCAACCAGGCATATATACCCATGCTGGAATGCCTCATGAGCCAAAAATAACTTGTATTGTGATTAACTGGACTGGAGACGGCTCTTTGTTGTCTCCCACTGGCTGTTTCCGGACCAGACTGTTCTTGCTAGGGCCCCACAGTGATCGTCCCTGATTCCTAGATCACAGAGCCACTTTTCTTCTTGTTCTTTTCCAAGTGCAGCTTTCTAGCTTTCCATTCGTTCTGTGGCCCCACCAGCCCTCCAAGAAACGTCTTCTTCCTTATGTCAACCAGGGTTGGCTTCTTTGGTTAACATTCGGAGAACCCTACTTGGCACACAGAAGTCACGGTCACCCAACATCCCCCGGTGGATGGTGAAGGCAAGAATGAAGACTTGCCTGTGATGAAGCTGCATCAGATGCCTCACTCCCGATGAGGGGGGAAAAGCCCCAGTTCCTCAATGGTCCCTGCCTCCTGTTACTAACACCCTTATCCAACTCCCTCCTCCTGAGCATGGGCAGGACCTATCATTGAGTGAGTAGACAGAATAATGGCCTTTGCAAATGCCATTAGGAATAAGGACCTTGGGGCGCCTGGGTGGCTCAGTCGTTAAGCGTCTGCCTTCGGCTCAGGTCATGATCCCAGGGTCCTGGGATTGAGTCCCGCATCGGGCTCCCTGCTCAGCGGGAAGCCTGCTTCTCCCTCTCCCACTCCCCGGGCTTGTGTCCCTGCTCTCGCTCTCTCTCTCTCTGTCAAATAAATAAATAAAATCTTAAAAAAAAAAAAAAGGAATAAGGACCTTGAGATGGGAAGACCATCCTGGATCATCTGGGTGGGCCCAACTTAGTTCAGGAGTCCTTGAAGGAATCTTTCCTGGGTAAGTCAGCGTCAGAGGGAGAGGTGATTGCAGAAGGGTCAGAGAGATGCAGTGTTGCTGGCTTTGAAGATGAGTGGGGGGGAGGTCACAAATCAAGGGATGTGGAAGCCTCTAGAAGCTGGACAGGCAAAGAAATGGATTTTCCCCCGGAGCTTCCAAAAAGGAATGCTGCCCTGTCGAGACCTTGATTTTAGCCCTGTCAGTCCCATGTTGAACTTCTAACCTAGAGAACTGTAAGCCACCAAGTCTGCAGTAATTTGTCATAGCAGCAATAGAAAACCATTATGACTTGCTTCAACCAACAGGTGTGCAAGTTTGATACATGTGGTTTTTTCCTTTTTTTCCTTTTGGCCTAAGATGGCAAAGGTGATGGGATGCCCCTTGATCAGGATACAGGAGATTGTAACTTCTGCGGCTAGCAGACTCTCCCAACTGCCTTCCTGGCTTGCGTGCACTGATGAAGCAAGTGGCCATGTTGGAGAGGTCCACATGGCAAACAGATGATGGGGCTTAGAGCCAACAGCAAGCTAGGAACTGAGGCCCTCGGTCCAACAGCCTCCAGGAACTGAATTGTTCCAACAACCACAGGGGTTAGATCCTTGTCTAGTTGAGACTTTGGATAAGAACTTCGTCCTGCCTGACACCATAATCAGAGCCTTGTGAGATCCTGATGCACAGGACCCGTCTTTTTTTTTTTTTTAATGTTATGTTACTCACCATACATTACATCATTAGTTTTTGATGTAGTGTTCCATGATTCATTGTTTGCGTGTAACACCCAGTACTCCATTCAGTACGTGCCCTCTTTAATACCCCATTACCAGGCTAACCCATCCTCCCACCCCCCTCCCCTCTAGAACCCCCAGTTTGTTTTTCAGAGTCCATCTTCTCTCATGGTTCATCCCCCCCTCCGATTTCCCCC